TGTTTAATGGATTTTGTATGAAATTTAACGTGTTAATAAATGTTACGCGAGTGGGTTTGCGGCAAAAATCCTGGCCAGAACATTTTTAATTAAATATTCAAAAATTATTGTGTTTTTAAATTTTATACTCATTTGTTTAATGAACAAATTATATACCAATCGGAAGTGTTAAGCCTATAGAATGTGAAAATTTTGGGTTGTCTGTTTTTTTCCTGGCCTATCTATCGGATTGGCAAGTACGAACAGGTAAGAGGTAAGTAATACTAGTAATTTTAACTCATCTGTTTAACACATTCTATAGGTCTTATGATTTCAATTTGTTTATGTGTAATTTGTTCATTAAACAAATGAGCGCAGAGTTAAAAAAAATAACATTTTTGAATATTTAATTAAAAATCTCCTGGCCAGGATTTGTTTTTTTAAATTTCATACAAAGTAGATTTCATCCATTAAACAGATGGATGAAGGTCGTGCCCTTGTCGTAGAGAGTAATAAAATTATAGTTTAAAAAATTAAAACCTCCCTATTATAATTTCCATTCGTACTGTCATCAGGTATGTAACTTGAGAATAGAAATCGCTGCATCTTTTAGGCGCATCAATATTACATAGTTACATCCCGAGCTAATAAAAGGAAGGTAAAAATAACCACTCATGCACATATACTCGTAATTGCGTATGTAACGTATACGCCCCTTAGCACCATACGCAGTCATTTAACACGCCTTAACTTAAAAATGATATTATTTAAAAGTAATTAAATATTGGCGTGGGAGATTTTACACAGTAGGGGTCCACATCAAAAGTGATAAACTTGATAAAGTGATAAATGTATTGTTTTGATAAATGAACTGTTAAACTGTCTTTTACCAAACGTAATTTTTTTTTCATTTGGTGACACACTAGTTTTGTTACACTAGGATCGTTCGTTTTGGCAAGAAGAAGAAAATATCAAAAGTCACAAAATAGGTTCGACAGATATTCTGCATGCTGTCATTTATCCTTTTAATTTCGTAGTAAACTCTTGAAACTTCGCGGATATATTGTATTTGATGCCAACGTCCATTGCCGCAAATATGAAAATTATATTTGAAAACTTCCCAAAGTTATTTTAAAAAAAATACATATATGATTTTTTCGAGTGACGATGAAAAAATTAGTAATTTCGGTACTTTTTCACGTAAACAAACATTTTAATGCTAAAATTGTTCAAATACTTGATTTATTTATTATTGCAATTTTCCCTGGAACTCTATTGATTGAAATATATACAAGAAGAATGATTTAGCTTTCTGGCGAGAGTGAAGTGACACTAAAAAAACAACTCGTGAGATTTGCTCAAATGCAGAATGTGGATGCGAGCTTCTTATGTTTTCATTTTCTATGTTTATATCATTTATTAGATTAAGCCATTAATTGCGATAAAAAGTAAACAAAATATTTTTAATTGCGGATCCGAAGAAATAAGTATGTATATATTAGCTGCATTGTGCTACGCAAGAATAGTGCCTAAAATCAATCGACTGTGCTTAAGGTGCCGGCTGGTTCCGAAAGGGCCGAAAATTGCACAATGCACACTCATTTTCCATCACTGCTAAGCAGGCAACCACATGCACACACACATATGTATATATGCAAGTGAAGAAGAAGATCAGGTGAGAGAGCGTGATATAATTGAGCATTACTGTACTGGCTGACGTTGTCTGTGACGGGCTGGCGGACACACGCGAATACATATGTACATAAATAACAGCCAGAATTTGGACTACTGCGCCGATGAAGTGCAATGAAAAGATTTTCGCTCACTTAAGCTGGGAATTTGCATTTGTTTCAAGGTTATAAGTCAGGAATTATGGCACTTTAAAAGCAATGAAGCATTAATTGCTGCAGTTTTATTTTGTTGTTTTTGGAGATGCGTTTACAGAGTTCGACAGTAGATAATTAAAAAAAAATTGCTTTGTTGACTTGTGAAAGGAAAGTTGTGGTGAAAGGTGAAAATACTCAATATCTAGAGTGGAAATGTATGTATTTTTGCAATTAAAAATTATGTTTTATAAAAAAAAATTGTAAACATTTTATGGTAATTAAAGCTCTGCTGTACTAATTTTATTTTCTATTTAAACTGAGTTTTTTAACCTTATGTCCGCCCAGCAGTGTGCTTTTTCTGCTCACTTAACGTCATCCTGTTTAATGTTTATTAGCGTTACTTATTTGCCCAAATTTAATGTACATTATTTAACATTTTCAATTACGGAGGTTAACTCAGGACTAAATAGATATACGAAAAACTGCATTGAGGCTGACGCTATAACTGATTTGAGTAATCGCTCTCAGTGCGGTCGTTGTTTAGTAGCTCAAATTTTTTTCTATATCAAGGGCTAATCTTGCGAGAGCAGTAATAACAATGTTTCGAAAAAGTTTGAAGCTAAATTTTACGTTTTCTGTCAAAATTACCAAGCTCCGTAGTTCACGCAGTACTAGGAGATACTACCGCCGAGAAAATATGCAGACTTATATCGACAGAAGTACTTTCATGCGATTATCGGTCTCGCCTCCTGGTACCACCCTTTCTTCGCATAACTCTCAATGCTCGCCTCGCCGCTTAACTAATTGGTAGAGAAGTACTAAAGCTGGATATGAGACGAACAAACAGATGCTTTTCAAACCCTAAAATACCGATTCAACCCCCTTACTTTTCTGACCTGACTTGAACTGTCAGTTCATTCTTAAAACCGACACCTGCAGAGAAGCCCTTGGCGTCGAAAAAGTCGTAGCGTTTACCAGCAGAGCTTGGGATATTTTTGTCAACAAACATGAATATCTAGCCTTTTTATGGGGTATCCTCAAGATGAGACCTCGCCTGGAAGGTTACCATTTCATCGTAATAATATCGGAAAGGTATAAAAAATGTGATAACAGATTCGCTCTCCAGATACCAACGCCAGATGCCAAAGCAGATACATATGTTTTATGCCGTGGATAGCAGTGGAAACGAAACGCCGCGGTAGAAGTTATGTGTCCAATAGATACTATCAAAGCCAGCCGAAAAAATGGCTTTCTCCGGGAGGTATATAATGCCGCATCCACCTGCTTTTCAAATAAAATATCATTATTGAGGATTTATCAAACTCGCAACCGCCATGGTCTAGTGGTTGGAGGTAAGAACTACCTCTTGGCCATTTTACATACATATTTATAAGGGAAAATGGACTGTGAGAATATTTAACAGGGTGTTTTCGAATGAGGTATATACATACATACATACATACTAGAGGGTTGCATGAATTCATTCAAAACGGCATATGAATTATTCATATGCAAAACGAATTAATGATTTTGGCTTCAAATTTTTTCGAATTTCAGTAAATACCTATTCCGATATACATACATATGTGTCGACTATGATACAAATTTTAAAAGGTAGTTTCACTTCTTATTTTTATTCGGCAGCGCTCCCATTTGACGATAAGTGTGCTTTTGACATTTTCTTTTAAATTGAAGCTATCATATTCTTTGAAGAAATTAAAAGGGTGGTGTTTTTCTTAAAAAAAATATTAAAAAAAAAAATATTTTTTAAATTATAACAAAATATATTTTGAGCATAATTTTTTAGCGAGCTTTCAGTGATTTATTTCTTAAACTAAATATAAAACAGAATACAAGAAAAATACTATGTATTGCCGCCCTCCAGGGGTAATTGAGAACTCAGGTAAGCTCTCTTTTAAGGTACTGTTATGCCAAAAAATATAAACAAGCGATTCAAAATTCAATTTGACTTTATAGGATGATTCTTCTGAGAGCAATGTGAAATTCAATCACACATTGTTTAATACATTTTGTTGCGATTACAATACAAACAAACTTATTTTTAGAAAAAAACATTTACCGAAATGAGTTTGAATGATTTGAATGTTTTTCGTTCATTCATTCACATTCTTCCATTTGAAGGTAGAAATTTTAAAACAAAATGTATATCAAGGAATATCAAACAGATATTTTGTTGTTGATTCTGGTATCGAAAGTGTCAAAAACTGTTCTAAATTAAAGCGTGCCATGTGAATACGTTTTACGTACTTAGTAGTGATGTTTATATGTTGACTGCTGTTGTGATATAGTGGTTAGAATCCGCAGCATCGGTGGGCCTGGGATCCAGCCCAGTTTCCGACTAACATTAAAAAAGAAAATAAAGTTTTTTTTTAATAGTGATTGCCTCTTGGCAGGCAATGGCAAACCTCTGAGTGTATCGTTCAGTGACCCGACCAATTTCAAAAAACAGTATATTGAATGGCGAACGGTTCTTCGAATGCTTAAAATGCATGAAATGCAAACCATCTTCCGTTCTGGGGTGAAGTAAAGCTATGGGTTTCAGCATTTGTCAAAGCACACACCAAAATAGGAAGAGAAGCTCGGTCAAGCACTTAGCAAATATCGTCAATGTTATTAGTTTTTTTTTATCAAACTCGAATTCTTGAAACTTTTTAATTTCTACTACTTCCAACTGACTATTTTATTCTAAATTCTAAGTTAATAAATACAAATCATGATTTTCGGAAAAAAATAATTTTGTTAATCTTGAAATATTAGTCCAAAAGTAAAAACATTGGAATGTGGTGAAATATCAGAAGTTTTTATTGGACCACAAAATCTTCGGCGTAATTAGTAAAATCGCAAATTAATCGGCATACCTACAGTTGAACCTTTCCCACAAATACGGGAGAACCTTGGATTGACGTATACCTCTAAGAACCGCGTGCATATATTGCTCTGCCGATATTTCCATTAAGAATCTCAAAAATTTTCCGAACTCATTTAAATTGCGCATTCAACTAAATAATTAAATATACAGTACATATGTATCTCTGACGTTCTTTCACTTTGCAATTCCATGTTGCCATACTCGCATAGCCGCCGCCGCTTTAGCCACGAACAAGTCAGCGCCGTCACAGAATGCTCACGGCTCGGCAGAGCGCTCTCAGCAGTGTATACAAAAAGTACACTCACGTTTGGTGGGCTGTCATTTGTAAAGTAGCGCTCGGTCGTCGTGGTTGCGTGTATCTGCGAGATAATTGTCTATATATATACGGTGTTCTTTTAGAAAAGTTTTAACTTGGAGAATTTTTCGAGGTTTTCACAAATAAAGGAGCATATATGTATTTTGAAATATTTCGCAAGTGATTTTCAAAAACGAAAGAAAACAAAACGCGTACAACTTCCTGCAACGTCGAAGAGTCGTTCAAAACAAGTAAACATTAAGGCACTATAAAAACGAAAAGTGACTTTAATCAAGATTTTCAATTGGTCAAAAAATTGCATACGAAAATTTTACGCTAATATTTCGTAATCCGCACAAAAGTTGATATTGGTAATATACCGCTGAAAAAAAGAGCAAAAAGCGTGTCAGAAACCGGGAAATTGGCAGTGGTCAGCTGAAAATTTTTGTTTTTACTTAAACATCAGCCAAAAAATACATACATACAGCAGTAACCTACCGACATCCAAACACAGAATTTTTTTACGAAACTACGAAACTCAAAAAAGACACTCATAAAAAAGTACAAAAAATTTGAAATTGCTGCATTTGAGATTCCATTTTTTTCTCTTCGTACAAATCGCTCGTTTATTCGGTTGCCTTAAAAAATCGGTTGTTCGTTCGAGTATTATAATTTAATTTTTTTGTTGTTAAATTTACTGAAAATTGGCGTAGAAGGCCAAGTGAAAGTGTCAAGTGAGTTGAATTGGATTTTTGTAGACTGACACAAGAAACAAAAGAAAAATACAAAAAATTGTATAATAAAAGCAGCAAGTCGAAGCAAAAGAATCGGTGACGTGGTTTTGTTGAGGTTTTGCTAGAAAACAAGGAAACTTTATAAAACAAATTTTCCAAATCTAAAATCTAAAAGCAAAAAATCGAAAGCCAAAAAAGTCTTTCGCAGTGAAACTCAATTAAAATAATATAAATATTTAAAATCAATCAAACCGAGCGTAGCAGCCGAAGTGAGCACCTAAAGCGAGTGTAATCCTTCTTTTATGTTATTAAGAAACCATAACAACAACAATTACAACAGCAATATGAGCGGATACAGAGAGATGTCAAAACTGGAGAACAGTCGGTAGGTGTTAGAATTATTTACATAGGTGGCATATGCATGGATAGTTCATACATACATACATACCACATACATATATTTGTATATTTGTATGTAAATATATAAAAATATTAGTTATAATATAGCAACACCCACCCACCAACTGACCAACTGACTGACTCACTGCCTAACGGGGTGTTTACATGACGCGATTTTACAGACAACTTTTAGTTGAAAGCAACAATCGCTTGGTGTGAACGGACTTTCAATTAAACGCTTCCAATGAAGTTGGTGGGCAGCCAACTTTTGATTCAACGAATAGCCTCAAGTAAATACCGCATATGTAACTCACCAGACCCTTGTCACATTTAGCGACCAGCAACATTTCCCTTGTGGTGCAAAATTGTGTATGCAGCGCTGACGTGTGATGCAAGCGACTTCAAAGAAAAGTTCTGTTACTAGCAGCAATTGCATAAATGATGGCAAAAAATTATTAATAAAACCTTGCATTGCTTGTGGTCAATGAAAACGAAAGCGGCGCTGGGAGCATCGAAAAGCAGGTGTGTGTAAGGGTAATACAGATTTCTGTTCTATGCTCATAACTGCATCCACCGTCTTGTGATTTACTGCCGTCCCTAAATTGGAGCGCAAAGCGTTGCGTTTTCCCTTGTCAACGAGTGTCGGCGCGCGCTATCCCCAAATCAACGCGTCGTAATTTTTGACGTTTTCTCATTTCCTTTCGTTTTTATTCCCATTTCCTCTTTCACTTTTTTGTCCTTTCCCTTTCTTTCCGTCTTTTGCATCCAGCTTCAATACGCAACGCCCTGTCAAAAATGCAAATTCCATTTGCTCGGCGTTAGCGCCGCGTTATTGTGGGATGCTTCATACAAACTGTATGGGCATGAGGATTTTTGACAGCGGCTTGGCGCTTGACGCACCAATTTAGGGATGGCACTTATTTCGCTTTGCAAATTTTATGCGTTCACCAATATTCTTTTTTAATAATTTTCATGTACAAATATGTGTGTATGTGTGTGCGCTCGTTTGATTTTACGCTCTTTGCGCGAGAAAATCTCTTTAATAAAAATGGTTAGCAGGCAAACTCTGCAAACAATAAAATATAAATTAATTAATGCTGAATGAATATGATTTTGGTGCGTCTTGCCGTCACCAGACCCGATCAGTGTTGCCTAAACATACACTCACGCTCATACAAATACTCGTAGTTAGTTGGTATGCCAAAAACCACAGCACACAGTGACGTATCTGGTAGCGAAAATTTATCGTACGATACGGTGTGGTGCGGCAATGGAACTGACAAAAGGCGAAGAGTATTTTATTTAGTATTTATGGGTGTAGTTGCTTGTTTGTATGTATTGTTTGCAGAAATGGAATCTCCCAACACATACTTGGCCAGAGTGTATATTTATTACTTTTATGTAAGTAAAAAAATTTGACTTGAGAGAATTTTTTAGTAAAATTTGTAGTAGACTTAGTAGATAAATTACGGAACATAGGACTTTTAGTTCTACCGCTTGTGGCACACTTTCTGCTGATAAGAAGCAGTGTAGCTCACGACTCGATAAGTTTATCTCATCAGTAGATAATATTTTTATCAAAAAATTTTTAAACATCGGCATTTCTATGAACTAAGAAAGGTCTGAAAATCTAGAAAGTTTCAAATAAGTAATTGAACTGTAAAAAATGTTCTATGCCCTTAGCAACTTAAACTAGGTAACGCGTTCGACGAAGTATTTCTTAAGCGTCTTTTTTCGTAAAATTTTTTTTATGCCTCCTTTTTTCGCCGTGAAAATACTACCGCGCCTTTATTTGTGTCTAGTGACAATAACTTCACCACAAACTGACAAAATTTAATAAATATATAGTTTATTCTTAAAAAAAAAAAACTGTCAATTAGGGTTTAACACTTTGCAATACTTTAAAGACAAATAAACAAACTTTGGCAAAAGTTTCAAGCTTTTTAATTAAATTTCCAAGAAAAATTTTGAATATGCAGTTTTGTAGTCCATTCAATTTCAGTACAACAATATGCAAGTTTGAAGTAGCTAGGACTTACCGTTGATTTCTGGCAATTTTTTTGCTGGCGGTGTTGCGCATTTTCTTCCATAAAAAACTCGAATTTTTCTCTACCTGTAGTTCAAAACACTATACCAAATGATTTCTGATGCCACTGAAATTTTGTTGAATGCAATTTTTATGTATTTGAAAGATATTCCTATTTATTCGCCAATCTAATACATTTTTATTTTTTTGGCATTTTTCCATAACTGCTTTTTACTTTTAAACAATAAAATTCGTCTGAACAAAAATTGCGAAAAAATTTAATTGAAACTTAAGCGAAAAACTTGTTAAATTTTTTTAATAGAAGTTTGCTGTATTGTACCAATCGTATGACTACTGGTATATGGTACCAATAGCTCAATATAAAAATGTACAAATCTGTACAAAAGTACCAATCATGTGAAACTGCCTTTACATACATAGATACAAATGTATATTTATAAGCGCAAAATTCGTCTGCGTTTAATAGCAACTGCTCCCATAAGCTTAATATGTACATATGTATGTAAGTATGGGAGGAAAAAAGATAAAAAAAGGAAATGCCCCAAGAGTCATAAAACGTATATGGGCACTTAGCAGCAAGAAGAAGCAACAGCTGATATTCTGCAAGCTTTGACGCGCCCATTGCGTATGGCAGAGATTTGAAATCACTTTTCGCATAGATAAGTTGCGTTTGTCTGTAGAGGAAATACTTATTTTTTATTTATTTTTTTTTGAAGCGTGAGAGTTTCAGATGGCTTTTAATTTTTATTTGCAACAGTTAGGGCCGTTTTCTAATGTAAGCAGTAAAGTTGCCTTTACTAACAGGACAGATAAATTGTTCCTCACTTTAAAGTGTTTTCGTTTTCTTACCTTGCCGGTAAAAATTAATTTGTTATTCCGTATAGTGAAACTTCACTACATTTCCGGGAGTGAAACTTCACTACATTCGTCATAAAATTTTAAAGGTTGGCTATGCAACATAAGCAAATATAGAGCAAGAGGAACTGTTAGCAAAAACCAAAACCTTGGTTGAAATATCTAATATATCTGACTCATGAACCAAAACCAAACCAAAATTTAAAGTTGGGTACAAATTTTAAAGGTTGCATCGGGTGAGCAACAGTTTATCGATTCGAGAAATTAATGCGCTGATGAGAAAACGAAAAGTCGTATATCGAGACGATAAAGTGGCCGGTAAACTAAAGGTTAGATGAGAAAACGGCCCTTAATGAGGCATTTTGCCTGGGTGAATGCTGGAATTTCGAAAAATCCTAAGCTACTATATGTATGTATGTGCAAGAGGTAGCGAATATAAACAATTTCGTATGGCAATTAAAATTTCTTAATTTCAGGTGTATGTAGCTATGTGTGTGCAACTCATGATTACATGTGGATATATTAGACCGTACCAGAAAAAAAGCGCACATCAAAAGATGGTACTGTTACAAGTTTAACGGCGTCATTATAACTCGATCTCCGCCCTCTTCCACCGAAAACGCTACATCTTTTAGAGGTTTAAAAATTATTTTGAGTCAGCATTCTTTCATCAAACTGCATAAGATCGTATTATACACGATATAATTTTCTTTTGACTTCAGCACCAACTATCGGTTCTATTTTTACAAATCTACATATGAATGTGTGTATGTATGTATGTCTTCTTATGTTTCAACTAAATATACCAAGTTTGAAACAAATCAGAGCATACACACCTGTTTTAAAAATATCTCGACTTTTAATTTTGGTGAATGAAAGGAATGAAGGAATCACTTCTTCTGTAGTTGCCCAGCTCTGGCCAAGAGGAGTGCAGGCTTTTTAGGTAGGCTCTTCTTTAGCTCTCTTACGGAATTATCACGAGTAGGAATAAAACCGATTCTACGCTTTATAAGAGCCTCAAATTGGTTCTCTGAAGAATAATCACCGAAGTTCCCGTATTCTGCACAGTGGTACCACAATGGACCTTCAAAAGATCTAAGTGAGTTGGTAACTTGAACCGACTGCCACATCAACCTAACCTAACCAATACATCAAGTGATAATAGTTTTCATAAAATGTCTACGCCCGTGAGTAAGCTTTTGGACTCGCTAATTTTTCACGTATCTAATCGATATTCACATGTGATTTACCCATTATTATCAGTTAATACATGATAAAAATCTTTAGTCGGCACATTACTCATTTCAAGTGGTTTAGGCATTTCGTGTTATGTACATAAATATGTATGTGCGTGAATCATTTACAACTGAAAAACTAGTTCACTATGTAGATCTAAAAGCTACGAGTACTATATACATATGTACCTACATATTTGTATACTTTTCAACCTATCTAAATATGTGACTAACAAAATTACAATTCCTAAATTTACTAACTGAATAAATTGAAGGTCAAATATTAACTTATACCTACAAGACGCATATGCCTATACTACATACAATCATATGCGTTTAATATTTATACTAAATAAATAAATGCATATGTGTGTATGTTCATATGTAAGTATGAATACCTTACTTACCTTTGCTTTGACCGTTTTCCTAGTGCGTGAAAAAAAAAACTGAATAGTCAAAATAAAATCTGAAAATAAGTTCATATATTTAAAAACCTGACTCAGCCCATAATAAAAGCGCTAAAATTACAACAGCAAATGTTGTGGTTGTTGGGATGTTTGTATACCTGTTTTTTTTTTGTTTTTGGTTTTTTGGAAAATTGCTTAACATTGCAAATATTCACACTGACGAACTTTATTTTAACTTTGTGTACTGTGTGACCCAATATTCGCTCTCCGCAGCTGTAGACTTGTAAGCTGCTTATTTTCTTTTGGTCTAAGTACATACATGTATGTATGTATGTATATATAAAGTTATATGGACACAGAGAGTGTTCGAACATGACTTTTTCATAATTTTTTCCCACTCTCTCCGGCCCATAACTCGGACTGACCAAAGTGGGCTTCACCC